TGCGAATAGTGCGAGGGGCAGTCGATGCTCCTGATAGTGCTGGGGGCAGTGGATGCTGCTGATAGTGCTGGGGGCAGTGGGTGCTGCTGATAGTGCTGGGGGGTGCTTTGCGACTTAACCCACCATACGCTATACAGCAAATATTTGGGTTTGTTGCTTACTGACCCACCCTCATTCCCCCTCTCCATCCCACCTCAGACCTAACCACAGCCCACCACTATCCCTTCCTAACCTTATTTCCCTTTCCCCCACATCTCAAGCTTTAGCTCTCAAACACTTTTCATTTTTTCACGCTCTCCTACAGTCTATATTGCAAGTCTGGTGGTTCCTCCTCTTCCCAACTGCTATTACATGTATTCAATAACTGAAACACCAATTTATATTGTCTCTGTATTCTTCAGAACATTATTTGTATACAGTGTACTACCTACCTACTCTATATCTTTCCATCAAAATAAAGAATTATGAAATAGGAAAACATTTTTAAAAAGGGTCCTATAGGTGATGGTGGGCATAATAGTGACATTCATTATCACAGACAATTTCATGCATCATCTGTTTCAGTCCTGATCCCGTAGATAGCTGTGTGTAAGAGCTGTGAATAACTTGATATAAAACTGACAAAAATGTAAACCAATGAGAGTCATTCCTCCACTGGAGAATTCCATTGCCGTTTCCACGAGGGAAATAACACTTGAAAATGAACAGCATAGTGGATAAAAATAAAAGGCGATAAAACTTGTAAAAACGCAGCAAACATTTCCCACTCCCATGAAATGTATTCAGCACTCTGTGCCTTGTTTGCTGCCATTGTTTGCTATTTATGTACATAATAATGTTATTTTATTGGTTTGCTGTTTTATCGCGTCTCAGGCATTCAGAAGAGGCTTTTCTTAACAGGAGCCCATCAATAATTTTTTTTAAGATCCTATTTATATTTAATCACAGGCTTCTGCGGTGTAATTTCATTTTTTGTGTCATTTTACATCGGTGAGAAGTTAAATGTGCCACAGCTGCTTCTGCTTTAATGGTAATATGGATTTATAAGGATCTCAGCCTCCAGGGTGAAGAATGAGACGTTTGTGTAGTAAAATCAGCTCAATAGACTTATCTATACCATCACGGCTGTCCGTGCCCTATATGCTGCCTGAGGCAGTAGAAAGGGGGGCAGCAGGTGCTGCTGATAGTGCTGGGTGGGTGGCTTGGTGGTGGGTGCTGCTGATAGTGCTGGGGGGGGGGGTGCCTTGGT